TATATACAGTGGTACCTCGGTTCACGAACGCCTCTGTTCACGAACAATTTGGTTCGCGACTAGGAAGTTCATCTAATTTTGCCTCCGTTTGCGAACTCTGCCTCGGGTGACGAACACGACCGCGGCCATCTTCCTTGCTCTGACACATGGTCGTGGCTTCCTGTACCCGAGATTGCGGTCGCAGACAGGGCTGTGGACACTGACTGTGAAGCTTTTTTTGTGTGCTTTGTAGCACAGTACTGTACAGTATTACTGTATTCAATCCAGCATGGCTCCCAAGAAAGTGCATAGCAAGCATGGTGGGAAAAAGAAAGCGCAGAGCATTAAAGAAGGTGACAAGAATGTGTAGAGCATTAATGAAGGTGACAAGAATGTGCAGAGCATTAATGAAGGTGACAAGAATGTGCAGAGCATTAATGAAGGTGACAAGAATGTGCAGAGCATTAATGAAGGTGACAAGAATGTGCAGAGCGTTATTGAAGGGGACAAGGATGTGCAGCGCAAGAATGGTGGTAAAAAGAAAGTGCAGCGCAATAAGGAAGATGACATTTTTTTTTCATATGGTTCAGAACAGATTAACCTGATTCACATTGAACCTGGATGAATGCCATTCGCATAGCATTCCCACCAATGGATGGAGCAGAGGAGCATATTTCCTATGCTGCTTGGCTCCATCTAGTTGTGCAAATGGGCAGAACATTTATATATATCAGCTCCTTAGTATTTTTCTTAGACAAGGCTGTGAGTTCTTGTTATACTGTTAAGAGGTTTTGTTAGGGGTCAAAACACGCACACTGTTTCCTGGAGTTCTTCATTTAAGCCCAGTAGTGCTGCAAAGGATATCTCCATAAAACAGGTGTACTTCTGATATGTAAAAATCAGATATGCTGGACACAGCAACTGCCTAACATGCACTAAACAGACTACACCAAGATACAGTCAAAGCAGCAATTGCTGGATTAGTTTATTTAGAGATAATAATCATGGTGGGGTTAATAAAGACATACACAAGTAAATGCTGGAATAAAAAAAAAGTGTTATCCTGTCATTACTGCATTTTACTGTCATCGTGACTATTCATTACCTAGTAATAAATATCACTATTACTTTTATTTATGTATAAACATATTTCACTACACTGTGGAATTATGCTATGATTACAATACATGGAGAAACAGATTAAATCTGGATGGGAAGTATTCTGGTGGATCATCAAACCAGCCTCATGTGCAAGACATATGATACATATACCTGCATTATGATACTGTACACAAATGTGCTACTATTGTTATTTATTAGACATGAGGATCTGTTATTTTTTACATCTTTGTATCACTGCTGTTACTTTCCATATGTGGTTGGCGGGTCATAGAAGACATGTGGTACAAATGGAGGGCTGGATAGTTTCAGACCACAAGCAGAATTCAGTGGTATGTAGACTCAAAGAATAAACATAATACCTATAATTACAGAGGATTATGGGAAAATAGAGAAGTAGGTAGGCTTGATGCTTCACTGGCTTTTTCCCTAGGCAGGATGGTTTATATAGAAATGTGAAACTGTTTTAACACCCCTGGCTAAGTATAAGTTTGTCCAAACATCAGACACTGTTGCTGGACACATTTGTGAGCAGGTAAATGTAGTGAAAATAAATAAAGGCATGTGGAACTCTTATGCTGGTTATTGTCATTACGTGTTTACCTGCATTAAAGTAATATTAATGACATTAAAATTAAAAATGCATCCAAATCAAACAAATATACATTGCAACAAAGCATTTCTTTGAATCCTTGCCCAAGCACTTACAGTCGTCATGTTCCCAAACAGCTACTCTAATTCTCTCAGCTCAGCTTCCCTGAACTTCCTGTCCAGTACAAAATCACAAGGGACAGAGCAGCTTCTGGTAGCTGTCCATCTAGTAGCTGGGAGAAGGGAGGAAGCAGAAAAAGCAGGGACCATGGGAGTGACTTGCCTAGCTGTACCTGTGTGTTTGTACATACACACACAGTTTACTAGCACACACAAGAGTGGTTTCATTGGACCCTGCAAGGGAAAGGAGCCACTCTAAAACTGGATATCAGGCCCAGTGCTCAGGGGACCAGATGATTCTGCAGGAAGCTAAAACTTAAATATCAAAGGGCAGCATCCACCACAAGTGATTTAAACAGCATTTGAAACAGTTTAAAAACCTTTTAACTTTAATATCACTTTAAGGCCCCTTTCACTTTAAGGCCCCTTCCGATCAGGTCTGCCTGTCAGTTTTCAAGTACGGTAGGCCTGATCGGAAGCCCAATGTCAGTCTATGGGCAGCCAGATCTAAACAGATGGCCATGTGGTTACATCCAGTTACCCCCCGACTCCAGTCCAGAAAAATAAATGGATCATAGTTCCATTTCGCTGGACCTGACCATACCGGAACGGAGGGGGGGGGGGGGGGGTAATCTGATGTAAATGGACACAAGTCCGTTTACACCCGATTCCCCATAAACCAACATGGATCTGTCATTCCAGTTTTTTTCCAACATCTTAAAACTGCAGGGACACGGATGACACAACGGTGACATCTGATCCTATTGGACCATAAGAAAGGGGCCTTAGATGTCAGGTTCAATATTTGTGGGACAGTGGACTTTGAACTGAAGAAGTACTGGTGTTATGAAATAGCTCTACTTTATTTTAGTACTGTTTATTTACAGAATTAAAATGCCCATAAGAATGTTTTCTACATTATAAGTCTATCGCAGGCCCAAGGAACGAAAGACTTCATGAGACAGAATCAGAAGTCATGCCGTACAAGTCATAACAGAGATGGCACAGACCAGATGCTTTGGGCATATAAAGGGAATTAC